GCTCATGGTTTCAAACATGTCAGGAGCTCTTTCATTTAAATTAAAAAAACAATAATATTACTGTAATAATTATTTTTGATAATTATTTTGATCACTCATGTCGATTCATTTGGGACATTTAAAAACCGATTTTGATGAGTTCCAGCAGCATCAGTTCAATTCAATTCAGTGTATCTAAGTACAGCCCTAAACCACAACAGCAGTCGTCTCGGAGGACTTTACAAACCTGCAGGCCATTCTGTATGGAGTTTGCATGTTCTCCCAGTGTCTGCGTAGGTTTCCTCGGGGTACTCAGTTTTCCCCCACCACTAAAACCTGCACAATAATTCAGGGTGGATGAGTGTGTGTTTATGAGTGTGAGTGTGGGACAATGCGGAGAGATGTGTTCATGCTTTCCCAACCATATAAACAATAAAAAAAATAAAAAGTAAAAACAGCGCAAACACAGGAAACGCAATAATAACAAACACATTTGTCATTCGGGAGCAGGGTGACCACTGTCCATAAATGTCCATAATGTTCTTAAATGTCCCGGATCATCTCTGTCCTTAGACCCTCCTGCATCAACAAAGAACCACTCAAAACTGTGAAGCCACTGCAGCACAAATGTAAAATATTGCTGATTGGTCAGGAGCTCAGGTCAGAATTTGCTGATGTTAAAATGGTTAATATTTTTTCCAGGTTTAAAGTTAACTTTTTCCATACTCCAAGGCTCTGATCACATGACACATCTACCGGCACAAAGTTCATTGTCTTCATCGGCAAGTGACCTATAGTGCATGTACCACAGTTTGAGAAACACTGACATAGAAGTCAGTATTGTAAATGAAGGCAGAGTCGAAAGGCAAAGCTCTGGGTTTACAGCTCAGTCCATTTTCCCATCCTCAGATTCTACAACTCTGCGGAAGAAACTCATGTGGACTCCTTGTAACTGAGCCCTTTGTGTAAAGCTCAAGATCATAGAGAAGCTCGGAGTAGACCCGCTGCTCATTGTGGTTGAGAGGAGTCAGCTGAAGTGGGAAGAAATGCTTGAGATGCTTCCTGGACACCTCCCTAAACAAACTAAACCCAGAATGCAGGGCTGAAAATTAAGTGTCATTTGATTAAATAAAACCAAGAGGAGCAATAAAAAACCAAACTCTAAGCAACTAAACTAAAAGCAATGACATTATTTTTTATATAGCCCTAAATCACAGCATGTGATTGAACAGTTTGAACACAGGATTTACAATAATAACAAACACATTGGTCTAAACCACGTACTGTCCATAAATGTCCTTAAATATCTTGGATCATCACTGTCTTTAGACCGTCATGCATCTGTCTCTCAAAAATAAAAGCAATAAAAAAGTGGGAAACCTTGGGAAGTACACATGGAGAGAGTGATCCCCCCCTCACGGATATTTCTTGCTGGGTAGCGCAACATTTCTTTCACCTGCCTTGAGAAGTAGTTCTCTGCAATTTTGTTCCTAAAAAACTACCATTGCCAGGGAAACGGTTGGAGACCCCTGCATCAAACATATATCCACAACAAGCCGGTGGTATCGTGAACAGCTCTGAATAGCTCTGAGCAGCTCTGACAGTCCATCTCCATGTCTGTGCAGGAGTGCCTGGGTCTCAACGGGCAGTTTGTGGGGACGTCCTGCGGTCACCACGGGCCCTACACCCCGGATGTGCTCTTCTGGTCCACCATCCTGTTCTTCTCCACCGTCTTCATGTCGGCGTTCCTCAAGGAATTCAAAACCAGCACATATTTCCCAACCAAGGTCAGAACAAGTGGGTGGTAGAACATTTGTAGAAAAGCATAAATAAAAGCTGATAGAATGTTGTTTTTTCTTCCAGGTTCGCTCAATGATCAGCGACTTTGCAGTTTTCATCACCATCCTCACTATGGTCATTCTGGATTACGTTGTGGGTGTGCCGTCGCAGAAACTCCAAGTACCGAGCAAGTTCCAGGTCAGAAAATATGAGTTTCATAGATCCTTTGCGTTCAGGTAATCAGGCAACCCCCCCAAAGCCCAGGCGCCTCACCCAAAACAGATCAGAAAAACAGTTCCAGAAACAGGAAATGTAAACAAAACACACATATAGGAGCCATTGGTCCACAGGATGACCACTGTCCAAACGTTAATATATCATCAATGTTAAACAAATACAATGCTGAAAACTCAATTTGCTTCTTGCGCACTTCCCTAATGCTTTGTGGGTCTTATGATGTCAATACGATTTAGAACTGACATAGTAATATTAGATTATCTTATATCAAAGACCAATTAAATAAAAGGTCTGATGTGTATTTGTGAAAAGTCAAACGGGGAACAAGCTTTCATATTCCTCAAATCCTTATTTATTTGAAAAACTGCAGTTAAATGTCCAGCAGATGGCGAACGTTTCTATTGGGCGGCACGGTGGCTGAGTGGATGGTACTCTCACCTCTCAGCAAGAAGGTCATGGGTTCGAATCCCGGATGGACCAGGGCCTTTCTGAGTGGAGTTTGCATGTTCTCCCCGTGTCTGCGTAGGTTTCCTCCGGGTACTCCGGTTTCCCCTACCAATAAAAACATGTACTGTAGTTCTGGCATGCACCTCCTGTACTGGCGACCCCGCTCCCATCTCTGTGTGGAGTGAGAGACAAATGCCCAAAAAATAACAATTGTAAACCGCTTTGTGACTCTGGTCTGTGAAAGGCGGTATATAAATAACAGATTAGTTACTACTACTATTGTATCAGTGCATTGACAAAACTGAGGCCAGTCGTTTTAATTTTTCTTGTGATCCGTGTGGTTTCAATCTATGGGCCTTTCATCAGGACTCTCACGCTTCTACATCTCCCACTGCAGGATTTTCTCAACCCCAAAATGATTCTTTGATTTGCAAAAGTGTCAACAAAACTGAATGTATACAAAAAAAAGAAAAGTGTTGAAATAAAAACGTGTTGTGTTGTAGCCGACTCGGGACGACCGCGGCTGGTTCATAAACCCCATCGGGCCTAACCCCTGGTGGACGGCTCTGGTAGCTGCGATCCCCGCTCTGCTCTGCACCATCCTGATCTTCATGGACCAGCAGATCACCGCCGTCATCATCAACCGCAAGGAGCACAAGCTACTGGTACCGCTTTCAATTTATTTATTTGTGTGTCGCCCTAAATCACAACAGGAGTCGTCTCGGAGGACTTTACAACGTTATGGATTACTCAAAGACAGATCAGAGGGGGGAGACGGAACATGACTCAGAGGAAAGGCTGCGTCCAAGAGAAGCGCAAGGAACTCTCTCTGTGTCGTAGATTTAGAATGATCCAAATCTGGGCACACCGTTATAGATTTATGTTCAATATATTTAAAATGTCTCGGTGTAGCTCTGACCGCCAGATCCAGAAATGGATTAAGGGGAAGAAGAAAATGGATGGATGGATATTTAAAATGTAGTAAAAATGTAAGCTGCTCAAAAGAACAATATTATTTGTGCCATTTATTGAAAATTATGTTATTATAATGATTTAATTATTTGGATGGTGCGCATGGCATGATTGTAGTTTTTGAGATCATTTCCATCTGTAGTCCCACGGTCACAAACTCACATTCATTCAACCCTCACCTATTGTATACGTTTTAGTGGTTCCAGATGTGTGATGTTCTGCGTGTACCTGTGTGCACAGAAGGGCTGTGGGTACCACCTGGACCTACTCATGGTCGGGATGATGCTGGCCGTGTGCTCGCTGATGGGACTGCCCTGGTTCGTGGCGGCCACAGTTCTGTCCATCACCCACGTGAACAGTCTGAAGCTGGAGTCGGAGAGCTCTGCGCCCGGAGAGCAGCCGCGCTTCCTGGGTATCCGTGAGCAGAGACTGACCGGACTGATGATCTTCCTGCTCATGGGCTGCTCCGTGTTCATGACCGGAGCACTGCAGGTCAGAGGGGAGGGGTCTGAGAGATTGGGAAATTGTTGTTTGTGAATTAGTTCAGCGAATGACCTGATTTTGGGCCTAAAAGTTCATTGGAACAGACGACCTGTAGTGGTTGGAAAGACCTTTTTCATGAGCCGCCATTTTGTTTGGTGTCAGTGTATAGAGCCGTAATCAGACTTAAAATGTGAAGCCTGGCTCGTACCAGAGAGAATACTATTCAAACCCAAAGCCTGACAACTTCTCCCGAGTCCAAACCTGATAGAAAGAGGCCATGTGAAAGAAAAGTGGGAGATTCTCAGCTCTTTTACAAGTATTGTTAGACTAAAAGTCTTAATTTGTAAAAAGAAAACAAAAAACAAACATTCATTTGCTCTTTGTTCTGGCACGGTTCACCTGGCTGTAGATCCAGGATTGAGCCTGTAGATCCAGGACTGAGGCTGTAGATCCAAGACTGAGGCTGTAGATCCAGGACTGAGGCTGTAGATCCAAGACTGAGGCTGTAGATCCAGGACTGAGGCTGTAGATCCAGGACTGAGGCTGTAGATCCAAGACTGAGGCTGTAGATCCAGGACTGAGGCTGTAGATCCAGGATTGAGCCTGTAGATCCAGGACTGAGGCTGTAGATCCAGGACTGAGGCTGTAGATCCAGGATTGAGCCTGTAGATCCAGGACTGAGGCTGTAGATCCATGACTGAGGCTGTAGATCCAGGACTGAGGCTGTAGATCCAGGACTGAGGTTGTAGATCCAAGACTGAGGCTGTAGATCCAGGACTGAGGCTGTAGATCCAGGACTGAGGCTGTAGATCCAAGACTGAGGCTGTAGATCCAGGACTGAGGCTGTAGATCCAGGATTGAGCCTGTAGATCCAGGACTGAGGCTGTAGATCCAGGACTGAGGCTGTAGATCCAGGATTGAGCCTGTAGATCCAGGACTGAGGCTGTAGATCCAAGACTGAGGCTGTAGATCCAGGACTGAGGCTGTAGATCCAGGACTGAGGCTGTAGATCCAAGACTGAGGCTGTAGATCCAGGACTGAGGCTGTAGATCCAAGACTGAGATGGAGAGGGGGAGTGCAGCCTATTTTCCAAAATTGACATTGTCCACATTATTCCACCTTTCCACCCTCTCACACACACAGAACACAGAACATGGAGAGCTCATCCATGACAGAAGTGTTTGTAATTATTAATGAAAGTGGAGTTTGTCGGAACATAGGTGACCTCATCAGCTGCAGGTCAGGCTGTGTATATGAGCTTGTGCAGCAGTGCCACCTGCAGGACACGTTTGGAATAACATTGCTTCTCTGTGTGCAGTTCATCCCCATGCCCGTGCTGTACGGAGTCTTCTTGTACATGGGAGCCTCCTCTTTAAAAGGCATTCAGGTAATACTTTTATATCTGTCCATGTTCAAAGATATTAGTGGGTTTCTCTGTTATTCCAGCAGCCATCAGCCTCAAAAAGGACTCATTTTAACATTTATTGTGTGATTATATTAGTGTAGAAATGTACTATTGCCTTCTTGTGAATATGTTTTTAAAATACATAAAAATAATAATGCATATGTTTTATATAACGCTTTACAGGACACTCAAAGACGCTTCACATGTCATTATTCTTTCACTCCATACACAGTGGTGATAAACTACTATTGTAGCCACAGCTGACCTGGGGCACACTGACAGAAGCGAGGCAACCAGTATGTGCCATCGGCCCCTCTGACCACCACCAACCATTCAGACACACACCAGACTCATTCTAGGCAATGGGGGTGAAGTGTCTTGCTCAAGGACACAAGGACAGTGTAGCACTTTACAGCCGCAACCTTGCCTTTCCTTAATTTTTTTCTTCATTGTTTATTTTTGTATGTTTTGTAAAGCGTCTTTGAGAGTCCAAAAAAGCGCTATAAAAGATTGATGTATATTATCACTATCATTATCTAATCGCTAACTGTTTCAATCTCCGTCTCTCCACTGGGTGTGTCTCTGCAGTTCTTCGACCGGCTGAAGTTGTTCGGGATGCCGCCCAAGCACCAGCCGGACTTCATTTACCTGCGACACGTTCCTCTGAGGAAAGTGCACCTGTTCACGGTCACGCAGCTCACGTGTTTAGTGCTGCTCTGGGTCATCAAGACCTCGCCGGCCGCCATCGTCTTCCCCATGATGGTAAACCACTCAACATTTCTATACAAGTGCAAGATCCCCGCGGCCTGGATAGAAATGCAGGATTTGTTCACGGCTCTATTATCTATTTTATATCAATTAAATTCTGATTATTTGTGTATCCCCCAAAATTGCAGGTTGAAGTTGTTGATTCACCAAGAACAGGAAATGCAATAACAAACACATAGAAGCCATTGGTCCATAGGGGACGGGATGACGACTGTCCATAAGTGTTAATAAATGTCTTTAAATGTCCCGGATCAGACCTGCCCTTAGACCATCCTGCATCGGCGAGGAACTATAAATAAAACAGAGGTAAAAATAAGTGATAAACCTCTGGGATGCCCATATTGGGCCTCATGTATGAAACTCAGAGTGTAAATGAGGCGTATGCAAAACATTTACACTTTTTGATCTGGACGTGAGCGTACGGTACAGACAGAATTTACACCAAGTCAATAGGTGGTGTAAATGTGTACGCTCATCTCAACCTTCATCACAACTCGCCAAAACACCTATGAAATTCAAGATTTGGACAACAATAAACATATTCCCACTCTGGCAATATTATGAGCTGCGTTTTCATTGAGCATCATGTTTCGTCTTCTGTTTCTGACTTGTGTGTAGTATTATTTTGATCTGTATGATTTTTTAAAATATGAAGCACTTTGTGATCCTGGACTGTGAAAGGCTCTATGCAAATACACTTTACTTACTTTCTAACTTACGCAACAGGGATGGGTGACCCATCTATTGCTTTGTAAATATGTGGCAGGCCTGTGTAATTACGCATGGCTATCTGTTTTTCATTCACATCTGGTAAAGACAGGATTGCAACGTGCGTATCTGTGGGCAGTGAGCAGCGATGAGAGGTCGCGCCGCATAACTCCTCAAATGCTCGCCATTCCAAATTTTGGATCCAGAGTTTCTCAGTGAAATCGTGGATCACAACTTCACAAAAGCTTCTCATCCTTTCTCTCACAGAGATCGCTCCATTGCATTCTCCAGATGCTGCAAACGCAACATTCAGTTAATGATGAGAGCCACCGCTGAGGCTAATAATATTTATGAATTCGTACATTCATTCATGAAATCTTTATTTATTTAGTTCTACAATTCAAGAAAGATTTTTGTAATGTATCAAACATTTTTGCAAATTTGTTCAAAGGAAACGCAGCTGAATATAGCGTATAATTATTTTTACATAAACAGGAAGCCTCAAAAAGCCTGTGGCACGTTTGTTTGTTCATAACAGTCTTTTTGGCCGACTTCCATGCTGACCTGTCGCAAAAAAGAGGCGTGAAACAGACGGTTTGATTATTTATAGGTGTGACTTTCATAAATACGCTAGTTTTGAGCGTGGCATGTATCAACAGCCGCAGGTGCGTACGCACAGATCTGAGCCTATCTCACACGTTCATAAATGCCGCGTTGACTCGTGCGTATTTGGAATTTACACCCAAAATATACACCCTTTTCTGCGCAACTTTCATAAATGAGGGCCATTGAGAGGGGTATCTGCTTCCATGGACAGACAGGCTGTAGAAAAAGGACTGAGGCTGTAGGTCTAGGACTGAAGAGGCTCGAGGAAGACCAGTCCGCAGGTGTTTTATGGCTCCGGCTCTTGGTTCATTAAGTCCTACAGTACTGTACAATATGAAAAATTGTGGCTTATATTCAAGTGCTGCCTATATGTGGACGATATTTACTTTTTCTTCATAGTCCATTAAGTACTGTATATTATTTAAATTAAAATGTTGGATTAGAAGCCATGGAGAAAAGCAGTTGTAGATACAGGTCAAGTCAGAAGTTAAATTAATAGTTTGGTGATCTCATACCAAAAGTCCCGAAGCTCAATAGGGTTGGCGGTGGTCAGGACTCTCACTTCCCAGCAAGAAAATTCTGGGTTCTAATCCGGTCAGAGCAGGGCCTGTCTGAGTGGAGTTTGCATGTTCTCCTCGTGTCTGCATGGGTTTCCTCTGGGTGCTCCAGTTTTTCCTTCTCTAAAGACATGTACATTAGGTCAAAACCTTCAGTTCTGGTCCTTGCCAAGAACATCCAAGACTGTTCCTTTGGCGACCACTGCTCATGACCCTTGCGGCCCTTGCAGCTATGAATGATGGGTCAAATTCAGAGGACACATTTTCCTACAGGGACAATAAAGTACATCATTGATGATTTCACTTTTGCCAAAGTAATTTTTACTCTGACTTTGGTCAAATCCAGGTTTAAAACAGTGCAGGATTTTAATGCCTTGGGTGATTGCTTCTATCTTGTTTTAAGTACTTTGAGTTGCCTTTTGTATGAACTGTGCGATACAAATAAACTTGCCTTGCCTCTGTTTTCAAAATGTGGTTGTAAAGTCCCCCAAGAAAACGTTTTTTGTGAATTAGGGCTATATCCAAAAATACATTTATTAATTTAATTGTCTATTGAGATGGGCTTGAACTTTAATTACTTTAATAATAGTACCAATAATGCATCAGTTTTATACAGAGCTTTTCAAGACACTCAAAGACGCCTCACATGTGTCATTATTCATTCACTCCACACACGGTGGTGATAAACTACTACTGTAGCCACAACTGCCCTGGGGCACACTGACAGGAGCAATGCAACCAGTATGTGCCATCAGCCCCTCTGTCATGTCACATCGGTTATCTTCCTTCTAAAATAAAATAAGATCTACCTCCAAATTAGTTTTAGTCTCCAGTCAAATGTTGAAGTCCTTACACAAAGAGATCTTCAAATACATTAAATCCAATTTATGTATATAGCACATTTTATAAAAACAAATTTCCCAAGTGCTGCTCAGAGATAAAAGTATTTGATTATACAGGTTTACCAGTTTTATATGTAATACACGGCTGTTACATTTAGATCAAAATCTAGAATTACTACAGTATGCATTTGTTCTTGGTCTCAGGTTCTGGCCTTGGTCTTTGTCCGTAAGCTGCTGGACCTGGGTTTTTCGAAGAGGGAGTTGAGTTACCTTGACGACCTGATGCCCGAGTGGAAGAAGAAAAACCTGGACGACGCCACAAAGATTAAAGAGGAGGTCACATAATTCATTCACTTTTTCAATGGATTGTTTATTATATCTCTGTTGGCAATTTTTCATATTTCATTAACAGCCGGGAGTAAATGTCAATCTTTTCATTCTGTGCTAATTTATGAATTCTAAGCCCGTTCTCTCTGTTTGAGTCTCTCCAGATTGTTTTGTATCTATCTGCTGATGTTCCGAGGTTTTTTTTCCTGACCAAGGCTATAACAGATCATTGTCCAGGCTTGAATTGTTATATTCTGTGCTTTTCTGAAACAGGAATCTGAGATTATGATCGAGTCTAAACCCGAGGACTCGACGACGGTCCAGATCCCCATGGAGCCGTGTAAAACGCAGCTGCAAAAAGCCCACGACCCCAGGTGACTTGAGATTATTATAAACTTCAACGGTCCCTAGAGTTTTCTGTAACATTGAAGTAAGTCCAGCCCAGCGTCCGTATGTGCGCATGTGTACATTCTCTCCTCTACACGCTCCGGTCTCCCCCTGATCCCGGTCCCTGTGTTTGTGTGTTTCCCCCGGTCCTCCAGGTGCGACCCCTCCGACATTAATATCTCAGATGAAATGTCTAAAACAACGGTGTGGAAAGCACTCAACTCACACCACAAAGATCCCCAGGGCTGCAAAAAGGCAAGACGCTCCTCTCTGCTCCTCCTGTGTGCCTCCTCCAAGTCACCCAGTGTTTCTGTATCAACAATGAGTAGCTTTAGCTTTAAGGAACTAATATTGTGTGTTATTTTGGCCCTTAAACATGATCTTGAGATTACGTATTCACTTTGCAATTTTACATTTTAAAATGTGAATGGTAAATTAAATTCTTGGTAACCATGGCTTCCAGCAGCACTCTGGCACTCTCTGTCTTTCTCTCTGGCCTCTTTCTCACTGGTCTCTCTCTGGTCTCTCTCACTCCCTCTGGTCTCTCTCTCTTTTTCTCCCTCTGGTCTATCGCTCTCTCTCTGGCCTCTTTCTCTCTAGTCTCTCTCTCTCCCTAGTCTCTCTCCCAAAATAAACAGACATAATGCATCTTTTCTTTGCTGAAAACGTTTTATAATTGTTTGTTTTTTCTCAGGATTGAAGGGATCGCGTTCATAGACGAGTAACCAGACGTCCGCCATCTTGGAAAACCGTGACGGAAGAGGAAAAGGCACATACGGTGTTCGTATCGGAACCAGTGGACTTTTAAACAGACAAAAACATTTCATAGGACAAAATACGAACCCAGTAACCCAGTAATAACAACTCTTCATCTCTCTGTACAGAATTTCACCTCATCCCCTCTGCACATGTTTACAGTATGTCAACTACTGCTACTAATATATTCTCACATCAACTAGAAATAGATATTTGGTTTTCCTTGTACCACTAGATATTAACCAGGTCAACTCAACGACTTTACACAACCAGAAAAGGATCTTACAAAGTCCAAAATAAGATTATAACATTGCGACAGACGTTTAAACCAATTTAACACTCATTACTAAACTAATTGTGCTTAAAATGTCCTTTTTAAATTAGTGCGTATAACATGTTTTTATGTTTTCAAATTTTGCAGCGTAACAGCTGTAAATGTGAACTATAGTTTTGCACCAATCAGGAAGCCTAGTCCTACACGGAAGATGCAGTTCTCACTCCAACTTTGGGAACAATTAAACATTTTTAATAAATTTGGACATTTTTTACACAAATTTAATATAAAAGATAAGGTAGATTCCTAGTTTATACAATATTTTAATTCCGTGTGTGATGTCATAATTTATATTCTTTTGATGAATCAAATATTACCTAATCGTTATATTATCAATATGAAATCAAAAACATAAAAATCCTTCTAAATCGAGAATATATTTTTCAAATTATTGGCAACATTTGAAATATCTTCACTCACCTGTTTATTCACGGCCAGATACTATTGTTAACAACAGAATTCACAAGTCCTCTCTTTATAAAGATATTTCCTCGTCCATTTTGATTGAAGCAATAATATATTACTGTATATTCAACTAAACAGCAGAGCACTGGCAAAAAATGGAAAATGGTGCTTCAACTGGGAAGAAAAGAATTATGACAATGTATTTCCCATAACTTGTTTTTCATTTATAAGCATTTAATTAAGAAATGTAAGAGCAGAAGGAGACGAGAGAGAGAGAGAACTGAGGGAGCCCAAAAAGAGAGCAATGAAAAACCGGAGTGAGACAGTGGGGAGACCAGAGAGATCAGAGGAAGAACGGAGAGAGACTATTTCTCAATTTTTAAACTCTGTCTCTTTTTAGACATAATTAAAAGATGTGGTTGATAGAGCTGTAGCTGCTGCAGGTTGACACACTCCGGATGAAAACAGTAGTGTTTCAATTGAACAGAACCCATAAATATAAAGGTGATAAATTACAGTTTTGCCGCAGTGAAGCCCGAGCAACAACAGTGCTCCCTCTGCAGCTTTGGCTCAAATGGATCAATACAGTTTTTTTAGAGCTCTTTGACTGCGGAGGCAGAATAACAACATTATTTATGACACAGGCTTAAGCAGTCTTTAGAAAATCACCCAAGAGTCGCCATTGGACTTTTATCATATTTTTAATGTGAAATGGTGTAGAGTGAACATTTTTGCTAATACCAGAATCCAATGCATTTTTTTGAATAATGAAATGGCTTTTTTAAAGAGGATTTTTTATTTGCATTGGATAAATAATTGGTCTTTGGGATTGCTAATTGCCATAATGTGATTAAATATAACTAACTCTAACTTTTAGTTTTGGTACACAGTGCACATGTAATTGGCGAGAATATTGAAATCTGAGAATGTTTTACTTTGTTTTGCTGTTGAAAATGTAACCATCCCAGCGATACGTAATTGCAATTTAGATTCAATTTCATCACCTTTAGTCTATTACTACCAAGCCCCGGCGATCAAATATGGCGGCGTATTCAAATCAATGGCCTGTGCTCAGTAGTGCACCGAAAGATTAGCGGAACTTCCCTATATTTGGGCATTTCTCTGTGCGCAGTGGATGAACTCCCATGATGCTTTGCGCCAAATACTAACAAGCATGTGTGTGTGACTCTCATGCACGTGCACAGAGGGGCACGGGTGCGTTCTGACCAATCAGATGCTGCTGAACAGAGTGGAGCCAGAGCGGGAAGAAAACAAGTGGAGTTTGTTAAAGTGTGGATTTAAAAATAATTGATGGATTTAACAAGAAAAAAAATTAAGGATGATAAGGGACACTAAATTCCCACAAAATCTGGATTATAAATAAAATTGTGTCATGAGGTCATTAGTCATAAACTTACTGATTGGCCCAAAGTTTTTTTCTTTAGCCCAAAAAACGTTTCCTCCTGAGGTATTTATACCGTTTACTTCCTAAATTGTGCGGAATATGTGTACTTTGTGAGCTCAGTATTGTTAGTTATTCCAAATCACACACAATCATTTTGAAAATTTGGAAAAAAAACGGTTAGAAATAATATGCACTGTTAAATTCTGACGAAACAAGACTTTTCGTTTGGTTTTAAAGTGGATAAATGAGCCAAAACCCTGTTACGCGCTGTATCTAAAAATATTTGTCAAAGCCATAGTATATAGTATATATAATTGTGCTGCAAAGTAACTTTTAAAATGCATTTAAAAAGCACAGATGTTTTACAATTTAATGCATTTTCACCACATTTACCAATATATTTATCTTTGCAACGAGACAAGCCAAATATGAAATGTTTTTGGACTTACCCAGCTTTTGAACACCACACACTCCCACCTATTCCCTTTAGAAAAAAGACGGTTTTGTGTGAGTAGCTAGGCGTTAATGAGTGAATGTCTAAAATAATGTTGTCTGTAATGACCAATGGTGACGTCATTGTGCTGGTTTGGTGTCTTATTTCTTTACCTCAAAATACTTCACTCTTGCTCGGCACTTTGAATGAAAAAAAGTCTATTTCAGAAGGATATTGCATTGCCTTTTTTAGGTTTTTAACTTATTGCTGCATATATTTTCTTATAGCAATAATTCTGCCCCAATTTGACCACAAAAATATATAGTAATAAAAATTTGAACGCAAAGGTAACGAACTATGACTGGCGTTTTGATACAAGAACATTTGCATCGAATGAACTAATGAAAACCAAAGGAAGACTAAACAAAAAATAAGGAAAACAACTTCAGTTATTCATGTTTACTGTGATTGTAAAATGTAGAGTTATTATAAATCATTACTTTTAAATTACATTTTAAAACCTACTGAATATGAATAGGAAGTAATTCACAATTAGCAGTTAAATATTTTGTTTAAGCTAATATTGTAAACTATTATTGTAAACACAAACACACAGAATAATTAATTCATAAACTATTAACAATTTAACGTAGAAGAACAAAAACACAATCATAATTCTTAATGCAAACCTTAATGAATGAATTAATCAAAGATTAGTAGAGGATAATTAACAGCATATATAATACTGTGTTCCAATTTCATTAGTCCTAATTTGTCCATGCTTAATTAAGGTGGTAAAACCAAATCTATCACTATCACACAGTGAGATGCACCTTTTCTTGTTGAATTGCCTTCTATATTTCCACTTCTTGATGCAATATTTATGAATGTTATTGTTGAAAAAAGTCAACAATAACCAATGCCAAAATCAGCATTCACTAGTATTGACATTTGCACACGTCCAAGGTCACATATGGGGTTAAACTTCACTGAAGAAATTATAATAATTTACAGTTGCACTTTCTGTAGATAAATATTTTGTGATATATTTTCTTTGCAAAAATATATGAATCTAATAATTTATTTTTAACAAATGTAAGTACTAGAATGATATAAGAATGTGAAGGTGGGTTTCTTGACATGTAATTGATGGTTGGAGAAATGGAAGTAGTTCTAATGAATTAGGAAGTTAAGAAGTTAAACATGGAAGCCAGAAAACAGCACACAATAATTTACAAATCCTGCATTCATTTCAAATTTTGTTTTTAGATTTATTTTCAGTGGAGCAGAGGTGGACGTATTACTGCCAACACAAACAATAGAGTTATATTTCAAAATAATGTTTAATGTAACTGTTTTACTGTGTGTGTAATGTAATAGACTTTTGGACTAATTGGTAACCAGTTAGAAATAAAAAGAAAAATAATGAAAAATATGTTTAAAATTACTGACATTGGGAAAATCAGAGTTAATATATTTGAATACTGATTTATAATTAAAAAAATGTTCTTATTTGTATCTGTCAAACAATAATTTCTTTGATACTTTATAAGAGTTTTTTCCCTTTAAAAAGCAGTTTTACTTTAAAGGGGACACAAAACCCAATAAATATTGTCATATCCATATCAGAATCTAAAATCTAATTATCACAACTGCATTTTAGTAACACAACATATAGATGATTTCTGACAAGAAATTTACCAAACGATTATTAAAAATAGTGATTGTTTGATCAAAATAATCATTGGTTCCAGCCCTAGTTTTTTCTGAAGTCAAACTAGAGCTTTTTGTAATTTTCCAGGAATGTCTTCAGACTAGTCAAATATTCTAGGCTCCTCCCGAATTCTGAGATTAATTTATGGTTTGTTTATTGTGTGTATCAGTGACTTTCTCAGACTCACTGTTTTAACCACAAGCAAAAAATTAAAAAATATTGATAAAAACTTAGAAATCATACTCTGCTTGATCTAATTTAAATTTAAATTTCACCTCTGCTCCCTTCAATACATGAATTGGATTAATTGTCTCTCCAGCGAACGACATGCAAGACATTGTAAATAAATGAAAGAGTGAATGTATCCCAATCAAACACGCTTCCATTTGACCAAATTGTGAAGAAAAAGCGCCAGAATTACTATTTAGTAAAAGCAATGTCTGTGGTGGTGATTGTAACATGCTCATAACATTGTGTCTTATGTGAATGTATCGTACTAATAGCCTTCATTTCATAAACAAACAATGAATGGATGTGGAAAATGTAAAGAATTTTTGCCATTTTGGTTTGACTATAGTAAAACTGTCTTTTTCTATAATAATATGACATTTTAAAAGGCTCAGGCTGTTTAAAATTATACATTTTCTGGTTGCATTATAAGTCACACAACTACAGGAG